GGGGCCTGAGCCTGCGAGAGGTTGAGCTCAGCGGCTGCCCCGACATTGCCTTGAGGTGGGAGCCTGGGGAGGACGGAGGTGGCAGGTGGCAGCCCCCCCCAGGAGCCGACTGTCCCCCTAAGTCAGGGAGATTCTTGGTCTGGGCGCGGAGAGCCCACGTCATCCCTCCTGGAGGGTCTCAGTGACACTTTGACATGATTTCGACTCACTGCTTGAAAAACAACTCTGAACTCTTGTCCAGTGTTTACTTTAAAAATATTATCTCACCACAGAGAGCTCAGCTGAGTGTGTTTCAGCACTGTCAGTTCCTGAGAGAGGCTTCAGGATCTTTAGCAGCTTGGTGGCTACAGCTGAGAGCCCCTGCCCACCGTCCCCACACCGTCCTCGCACTGGCCCTGCATGGCCCACGTCCTGGTGTGGGTGGGTGATGGTCGGGGAGGCCGATGGCATGGGATGCTGCTGCCCTTCCTGCTGCCTGCCTCGGGTCCTGTGTTTGGGATCTCCAGGTCCTAAGTCCAGAGATGCTTGGTGTCGCTGGAGACCACCCTCATCTACCCAGAGTTCCCGTTAAATGAACCTCAGTGCTAGGAACGCTGGGAAGTTTAAAGACAGTGGGTCTCATTGTGAGCCCTACTGACCCCAGGTCCTCGGCCGTTCTTGGATTACTGAGCAGCCCTGTAATCAGCTGCCTGTCCCCTCTGCCTGTGCCCTCTGCCCGTGCCCCCTCAGCTCGTGCCCTCTGCCCGTGCTCCCTCTGCCCATCCCCTCTGTCCGTGCTCCCTCTGCCCGTGCCTCCTCAGCTCGTGCCCTCTGCCCGTCCCCTCTGCCCATGCTCCCTCTGCCCATCCCCTCTGTCCGTGCTCCCTCTGCCCATGCCCTCTGCCCGTGCCTCCTCAGCTTGTGCCCTCTGCCTGTGCCCCCTCAGCTCATGCCCTCTGCCCATCCCCTCTGCCTATCCCTCTGCCAGTCCCCTTTGCCCGTGCCAGTTCAGCTTGGACCACGCTGCTCGCTGCCTGGGTGACTGGGCCCTGCTTGGTTCTCCACCCTTCCCTGTCTCTCCGCTGCCCTACGTTCCCTGCTCCAGCCACGCTGGTTCTCTTACCTTCCTGGAGCACGTGGCCTCTCCTGGCCCAGGCCGGTGCTGCTCCCCACTCTGGAATGTTCTCTGGAGTTCTTACCCTGGATGGCTCCTTCCCCCTTCCCTGCTTGGGGTCACCTGTTCTCATCTGAGATCAGCTGTACCCCTGCCTGTCTCCCCGTTCGCTTGCAGGCCACTGTCCCTGGCACTTGGGAGTCAGGAGGAGCAGGGCCGAGGTCTCGCGCTCCAGGAGCTACCGGGCGGCTGCTGTGCAGGGACTCAGGTACTCAGGTGCTCCTCTGGTGCCTCAACGGCTTTCACTCCTTTCGTGCTCCTTTACCTGGGGCTCTGTACTGGCGCTGCCAGGAGGCCTGGCTGGCCTGGGCTGGGAGCCCATGTTGAACAGCGTCTATGTGGGATCGAGGCTGATTCCCGCAGCCCCGGTTCATGCTGGATGGCATCTGAGGGTGTCGCCCTGGCTTGAGCCCAGCCCGGGTGCAGGAGTCAGGGAGACCGTGCAGTGGGACAGTTCCCGTTCGCCAACTGGGCCTGCGCGGCCTCTGCTTCCCAGCCACCAGGGGCCACAAGCAAATCTCTGCCCCTTGCCCAGGCCCCAAGGCAGAACATTTAAAAAAATCCTCCCTTCACAAGGACAGACACAGGGAAGGATTCAGCCCCTTAGGTTAGATCTGACCAGGAAATCTGTGGCTGGTCTAAGGTCAGCACGAGCGGGGAGCTGTGTCTGGGGCCTCCCGTCCGTGTGGGAGAAGCACGTGGCGCTGGGAAATGCGTGGTGCAGGCGCCAGTGCTCCAGAGCTGCCTCGGCTGCCCTCCTCCCACATCTTGGGTTTCCCCTGCAGATTCCCATTTAAATCGTCAGTCCCATGGAGTCCATGACCATCTCTAGCCATGGTGTGAGCAGCGTGTGGCTTCGGATCTCAGAGACTGGACCACTGCTGCCTTGGCTCACAGGCCCCCTCTGTGCCGCCCTTCTCCTCCCCATGGCTTCCTGACTGGACTGCTGCTGGCCAGGGCTGCACTGCTGTGTTCAATGGCATTGGCCTGTGACCCTGAGCACGGGCTTAGATGCTGAACTTTAGACCCAGTGCCAGGCACTTTGGTGTCCCATAAGGATTTGTAGATAAAGTCATAAAATACCCGGAGGTTGGATTCTCTTAGCTTTCTAACTGTGGCCTCTAGACAGCCCCTGCCATGAGACTCCATCCATTAGTCTTGAGGTCACATGTTTCCATTTCGTTCCTCATATACAGGTGGAATGTAATAGTGGCTGACTGATGGATGTTCTGAAAAAATGCACGTCTGAGCATATGTTCCTAGCAGCATCCCTGTACTTCCGAACCACCTCTGAGCATTGATGCTTCTTACTCATCTCTGTCCTGAATTCCAAAAATTAGAGCTGTTTTCTATCCTTAGCTACAGCCAAGAGCCCAGCCACACTGCCCTGCCCGTGACAGTGTGTGTTTGTGAGGACAGGGTGACCAGCCCTGCTCTGGGATATTTCATGAAAATCTGATATTTCATGGAAATCTTATGTTTCAGGGAATGGGAAAGGCTGCCTGTGGAGGGAACTGTGCACACCAGGAGCATCCGGCAGCCACCGGCTTCTTGGCTGTGCTCCAGGCTTCCTGGCCCGGTAGGCAGGGCTGGCTGCCCTTGTAGGAGCTGGAAAGTCAATTTTGGAATATTTCAGAATAAAGCTCACAGACGTTCTGAGGCAGCGATGCCCAGGGTGGCATGACCGTAGCCGGCCCTGGGCCTCGGAGACTCCGGCATAGCGTGGGGTCCCTCCTAGGTCCCGGCCCCTCATGGGAGGTATTCAGGTTTCCACCCTTCCACAGGGGAGGATGTGCCGGGAGTGGGGAGACTCTTGCAGCCTCACTTTGGTTCAACTTCAGGATCGGAAGAGATTATTTGTGAAGCTGCTGAGCTTCCAAGCAGGAGTGCAAGTTTTCCCGTTTATGATCCTGTGTAGAGCTTTCTTCTGTCACACGGGGAGGCTTTGAACAGGGAGTTTGACAAGCCACCAAGCCTTTCACATACTGTACTTGGTCAACCTGAGGACAACTCGGAGACGCCGTTACACAGAGAAGGAGTCTGTGGTTCAGAGAAGACCAGTGACTTATGAAGGGTCAGCTAGGAAGCTGAGAGCCCATGCTTGGGAGGGAGGGAGGCAGAGAGGTATAGAGGGGCTGGCGGGTGTCACTGCCTGGGCAGCCAGGTGGGAAGTCCCACTCCATCGCCACAGGAGTGTGCTTTGCAGGCAAGCTCAGGCCACTCCAGGTGCCTGGCCACCCTGTCTCCTCCGTGCGGAGCGTGGGCCTGTCCACGGGTCCTTGCTGTGGCCTCGCTGACAGTGGAGAACATGGCGCGTTCCCACACCTGAATGCGCTGGTCTGGGCGACTGCACTTTAACTGCCCTGAGAATGCTGGCGTCCAGGGCATGCTGTGACTTAACACTCTGTGCAGAGGCAAGGACTGGCATCGTGTGCACGGGGGCAAGGCAGGCCAGCTGCTGACGCTGGAGTCCCTTACCTCTGCATCTTTCTTGGTGTGAGTGGCTGGCCAGTGGGAGAGCATGGCTGGCAGTGAGGCGTGAGGGGCCCCAGGGAAGGTTCCAAACGCTCTGCAGGTGGCTGGGGCAGGTACCACCTGTGTGCGAGGATATCGGTATTGCTGGGGTCCCGGGTCCATGATGAGCAGAGTGTGTGACTGTTGGCGCTCAGGTCCCAAGGCCCCGCAGCCCCACAGGCATCTGGCCCTGCTGCTCTCGTGTCCCTGCCCCTGCCTCCGGACGCGGCCTTGGCTTTCTCCTTCTGTTTTTTGTAACCTTTGGGGTCACAAGATCACAAGGGGTGTGTTCCACGTGGTTAAGGGACGTCTGTGGCAGGGAAGGAAATTTGGCTACAAGAAGGGGAAGGAATTCCAGTACTCTGGGCAGGAGGTCAGAGCAGGTGCAGTGCACAGACCCCAGGCTCACTGCGGAGCTGCCCAGGGGGGAGGCGTGAGGCTCATAGAGCATGAAAGGGCAGTGGCCCAGAACACTGTGGTGGCCGGGACTCTACGGGGAGGAGTGCAGAGCCCCTTGGAGCTCCACATGTCCCACACAGAGCCATTTTCTCACGCCGGGCCGACCCTCAACAGTGCAGAGGGAGCGGTAGAGTGTGCTCGGCTCTTTGGACCATGGTGAGGGCCCAACAGCCTCTGCTCAGCGCAGAGTCCTCTAAACACAGGAAGGAGCAGTGGCTCTCCCTTGTCCCAGAGACAGGTGTGCCAAGTGGTCTCCTTCCAGATGTGGGCAAACATTGACCTTTTTATTTTTTTAAAGCTTTTTACCCTGCTGGGGCTGTGGAGAGAACCTGGTGTTTGAGATCAGAGCTTGTTTGATGTCAGTTCTTCCAGACCTGAGGACGAACTTGGGCCTGTGCTCCCCCTGGGCGCTGCAGAGGCTCCTGCTAGTGGACACACACCCACCAGCCTTCTGCGAGCAGCAGGCAGGGCCGTCCCGGGAGGTTCAGATGCGGGGGCGCTAGGTGCGCTGCGATCTGCTTGCTTCACTGAGTTAGCAGGGCGGGCTCAGCTCTGAGGGGCCGGCCTTCAGTGCAGAGCAAGGAGGATTGCCAGGACACGGTCTGCCTGCCACATTCATCCATGTGACACGGATGGAAGGACACCTCGGCCGCTTCTGGGGGTGGTGGGATCGTTCCTGTTCCTCGTCAGTTATTTCTTGGGCAGCAGTCGGAGGCTCCAGCGCTCTTGGTGACTGCATCACAAGTCAGGAGGGATCTGCCCAGCCCTGCGCGGAGCACCTTTCCTGGGTGTGTCTCAGCAGAACACTCTGCTGTCCTGAGTGTGAGCTTATTTGAGCCTTGGCCATCTGAGGACCCTGTCTTCTCTTTTTCAGAGGATTACCCCAATGGCACCTGGCTGGGCGACGAGAACAACCCCGAGATGCGGGTGCGCTGCGCCATCATCCCCTCCGACATGCTGCACATCAGCACCAACTGCCGCACAGCCGAGAAGATGGCGCTCACGCTGCTGGACTACCTCTTTCACCGCGAGGTGCAGGCCGTGTCCAACCTCTCGGGGCAGGGCAAGCACGGGAAGAAGCAGCTGGACCCGCTCACCATCTATGGCATCCGGTGTAAGTCGGACCCCGCCTTGGGGGACTGGGGTGTGCAGGGAGCTGAGTCAGGACCCACATGTCATTGCTGAGGACGCTGGCATCAGGAGTTCCGGCCCAGGGCTGCATTTCTCCAAGCAGTTTGAAATCCCAGCCCGAGGATCAGTGCTCGAGGGGATGGACGCCTGGTTGACCCTGATGTGCTCACTGCGCCCGGCAGGCCTATACCAAAATAGCTCATATACCCCATAAGATAGACACCTACTGTGTACCCTTAAAAGGTAAAAAACTCCTCGCCTCCTGTCTGTAGGCCACTCTTGAGGAAGGGAGAGGAGGAGGAGAGCCGGGGCCTTCCTGCCATCCTGGTCGTGCTGACCCAGGCCCTCCTGAACCTCTCCGCAGCGGGTGGAGTGCCGCCTGCCTCGAGGGCTGAGTCTCAGCAGCCGTGCCGGGGCCTCTGTGCTGACCTGACTGTGACGGGAGCCAGGAGAGCTCCAAAGCCTGATTTTCGTGCCCAGCCCAGCCTGTGACGTTTCCCTCCCTTCTGAAGAGCGGGGCTTGCTCCAGGTGGCGATGGCGGTGCTGCTCTTCAGTGATGTTTGATGGGCGCTTAGGTCCTCCTTGCCAGCATACATGGTCCATTTGCTCCACCGAGCCCGTCTGCTTCAGAAGCTGTCCTGCTGGCTTCTGACAAAGATGTAAAGTGAAGCAGCAGCAAACACAAGAGACACGAGGCCCCTTGTGGGAAGGTGTGGGAGGGTGCAGCGGCCTCCGGCAATCTGGGCTCTGGAGAGTTGCCACAGGGGAGCGTGAAATGTAAATCTGATCTCGCAACAAGGCAAGCGAGGCAGAGCACTCGATGTCCAGGATCTCACCGTGCAGAGGGTGTCCGGGGTCTCACCGTGCAGGGGGTGTCTGGGGTCTCACTGTGCAGGGGCCACTGTTCAGCAGGAAAGAGCCTTGCTTCTCTGGGAAGCGTGGTGTGGCCCGTGAGCCTCTGTCAGGAGCAGTGAGGAGGGGAAGGGCTCGGCTGTTCAGTAGCTGCTGTGAAAATGGGGTCTAAGTAAGACTGAGGGGGTCGTGCTGACTGCAGGTTTTCCTGGAAGCTGCTGAGAGGTGGAGCCAGGTCCCACCCACACGCGTGTGCGCAGGTCATGGCATCTTCCCATGCGCCACGTCTTGGCCCAGGCGTGTGCCCCAGCTGTCAGACACTGGCGGACGCCCGTCCTGGACCCTGAGGGTTGTCTCAGATAACTGCCTGGGAGACCACACGTGGGGCCTCCTCACAGCTTCTCAGCAGTGGAGTAAAGCAGGTCACACGGATCAGAGGGTCATGGGATGGGGTCACTCGCAGCCGCCTTCTGAAGGGCCACGTGGCAGATGTTTCAGGCTTTGCAGGTCCTAGGGTCTCTCTTCAACTGCTCAGCTCTGAAAGCAGCCACAAACAAGGTGTCAGTGCATGGCCATGGCTGTGCTCCAGCAGGACACTGCCTTCAGAGGCAGGCAACAGGCCCACCGCCCTCTCCACCCTCTGCTTTAGGGCATGGCGTGGCCAAGAGCACACATCTGCGCCCCTGACCACGTGATGTGCTTCCAGCTTGAAAGCCGGGGGTTGCTTTGTGCTGGTGCTTGGTGTGTGGATCACAGTGTAGAGTGTGCTGAGATGTATAGATGAGTGAGAAATGGCCCTGACAGCAGAGTGTACAGTCAGGTAGATAGAAGTGTCTGTAACCTGAGAGGTGGCATTGTGGGGTGTCGCTGCAGTGTCAGTCTGGGCTGAGAGTTGGAGGCACAGCCTGGACAGAGGAGCGGGTACTCTTTGGAGAGGATGGTGGCATGTGGGAGGAGCGTGCTGTGCTGTGTGGGGCAGTGGCTTTCAGGGCTGGGCCCTCTTCCCAGGTGAGGAGTCCCTGCTCCTCGAGGAAGATGACAGGGGCCTCAGATGTGAGGCTGGAGGCCGGCTGCTCTGCCTTGGAGACGGTGCCTTGGAATGTCAGGCTAAGGATTCTGGGCTTTCAGGGCATTGGCTGCGATTGGTGTTTTTTTAGTCGGGCATAGGGAATGTTCCAGCGAGGTGACAGGGACGTGGCAGGGCAATACTCAGAGCAGAGCCCATGGCGGTGGGGTGACTGTGTCTGTACTCAGGACGTCCATGTGGGGTGGTGGAAGGCCCTGTGTGGGGCAGAATGGGGCAGGCCCCAGCTCCTGTGTGTGATGGCTGTGAGCTGACCTTCCCTGCCGAGCTTCTCCTTGCTTGGGAAGTGCTGCCAACCTCGATGGGGGTTCGGAAGCCAGAGAGGGGAGTGGGAACCTGGCATGGGCCACCACCCTCTTCCCTGGGCCCGCTGGCTTCGGGGCTGTCCCCCAGACAGCTGAGGTCACTGGCTGTGTTCACCAGGCTGCTATGGCTTGGGGCCCACGCCCTGCCTCCCCAGGCTCTGAGCTGGGCTCTGGAGCACGGTCCCCTGGCAGGGGCGTCCGCTAGCACTGTCATTCTGCTGGAAGTCCCTCCGGGGCGTGGCTCCTGGGCTCGCTTACAGCGCCTGGCCCCTTGGAGATGCTCGGTGAATTCTGATCTCTCGAGCAGAGCTCTGGGAGGGTCATGGTGGGGCTGACCTTCGGGTGACTTTGCGTGAGGAAGGCTGGCCTGTCCTCAGGGCCATGTGGAGGGGCCTGGAGCAACTGCTGAGTATGGATCGGGCTGTGCTGTGGAACAGGAGTGCCCGGGGTGTGGGGATTCTGGAGACGTGGGCAAGGCTTGGCTTCACAGGAACTCGAGAGTTCAGTCATTGCTGTGGGTTGTGGGAGATGGCCCATTCTGTATAGTGGGCGCCACCTCCCGTCATACACTTCTGAATTCCACAGACAGTTGTGTTTACGTGAAGCCCACGTGGTGGGCTTGTGTGCGTTTTTGGCGGGAGGCTGTGCGGGCTGTGAGGGTTCCTGCCAGTGCCTGTGGGTGGGGTGGTGGCGAGCTCTGCGGACGGTGCTGTGTCAGCAGCCAGAGCTCTGTCATGTCACAGGTGCGGCTTCCTTTTTTTTCTTCAGGCCGAGAAACCTGTGCATTTTCTTAAAGGGGAATTCCCGATTATGTGTATATTTGCCATATTTGTTAAATAGTTCACAAAGCATGAATAAGTGTCTCAGAATGTTGAGACGCCGCATTCATGCTCAGGGCGTCGTGGGGAGAGTTGCGCCATGCCCTCACTAGGCATCCATGCAGCTGCGTTGTGGGCAGGCAGGTAAGCCACGGTGCAGAGAGCAGGTCGCGGGGCCACAGAGGAGGAGATGGACGTGGCTCGTCGCAGCCCGTCTCAGCTCCGTTGTGTCTCTGAGCTCGCAGCATTCACCCAGCGTCCTGGACTGCAACCCCAGGTGTGTGGTGTCCCCAGCGGGATTGGTGGCGCCCGGACGTGCTGCCTGCTTAGCAGGAGCTGTGTTGTTGAGCGACTGTGGAGTCTGTGCTGTCCAGAGGCGTGGGCGGCGTTCGTGTGAAGGTGGCCGCTGTGTCCTTGCCAGGCGGCATTCGTGTGGAGGTGGCCGCTGTGTCCTTGCCAGGCAGAGAGCTGGGCACGCAGGTCCGGGCCTCTGTCTGTTACAGATATTCACAGTGGGTGGAGATTCCGAGTCTTCACTGTTGCACTGGGCCTTCAGAGGGCCCAGCGAGTGGCCTTGTGGTTAGACAGTGTGGACACAGGAGCCAGCGAGCCATCCTGCTGGAGCCACATGGGCGAAGCCCCGGGAAGGGGGGCGGGCAGGGCAGAAAGGAGCCTGGAGTCTGTGGGCCACACACTGCTGTCTGCCCACCTTCCCCCCAGGGTGGTGGCTTCTGTGAGCACCTGGCCTTCTTAGCACTCACCTGCCACCTTGGCAGCTCATGAGCAAGGCAGGGTCTTTTTTTTTTTTTTGAGATGAAGTCTCACTCTGTCACCCAGGCTGATTTGCGGTGACTTGATCTTGGCTCACTGAAACCTCTGCCTCCCGGGTTCAAGAGATTCTCCTGCGTCAGCCTCCCAAGTAGCTGGGATTACAGGCACCTGTCCCCATGCCTGGCTAATTTTTATATTTTTAGTAGAGACGGGGTTTCACCATGTTGTCCAGGCTGGTCTCGAACTCCCCACCTCAGCCTCCCAAAGTGTTGGAATTACAGGCGTGAGCCACCATGCCTGGCCTCAAGGCAGTGTCTTGTGGGACAGGAGCAGGGGCTGACAGGGTGGAGTCAGCGTCTATAATTGTGGCCTGTGTGACCATAGGCCCTTGCTGTGCCTCCCGGTGCCCCAGCTCCTCTGGTGTCCAAATGGAGAGGAACCTTGCTGTGTGGGCTGAGAGAGCACGACCCTCCCTCACACCAGCCCTTGAGGACAGCGGGCAACACCTACTGGGCTTCCTTCCTCTGGAGTGAAATCCAGAGGGAGATTGGAACAGGAGCCCTTCCTTCTCCCTCCACCTCTGGCCAGGCGTACCTGTGTTGCTCGTGCTTAGATGGAATTGTTGAAATGTTAAAAGCATTGCTTTACCTTTTCTCTCTGTGGCCCAGTTTCATTCTTATTGCTGATTGTTGCTCAAAAAACCAAAACAAATCAAATAAGTGCATGGACCAAACCTCCCAGGCCCCAGCTTGAACAGTGGCAGGAGCAGAATTGGCTGTATCGCCCCACCTCACTCTCTGCGTTGCTTCAGAGCCCACAGTGACACCTGTAGCCTCAGCAGTCAGGCCTGCGGCTGTCCTCACTCAACCCAGGCAGCTCACGAGGGAGAAGATTTTGATTTAAATTTCTCCTTATTTGTCAGCAGAAAGATTTTCTTTCTTTTTCTGGAGAAAAAAAGTCTACATTTTGAAACACACAGTAGGTAATGTCTCTACCACCTTTTTGAAATGAGGTTATTGAAAGAGGGAGGTTATTGCTTTTTGGGGTGTTGGCTTTCTTAGGGTTCCCACGGTTTGGTGGACCCCCCCAAATTTGGGCAGCTAAGCAAATTTGTGTTTTACGCAAAAGTAGCATATTATTGCAACTTGGAAA